TGCCCTGTTACTGCAATACCTGTAAAGAGCAATGCAACTCGTTATACGTAATCCAGGATTTTCATTTGTTCATTGCACAATGAATTACAATATGAGGTTATTTTGTTAAAAGTGTTTTGTACTGCTTTGTATCATGTTTATTTCTAAATAAATTTCATTTTTTCAAAACTGTTTCCAGTCTTTGAACATCATTTAATTATTCACTTCAATTTTTGGCTTGCAGTTGTTGACATTAGTGTAGAAAAAGCAGCAGTGTTGGGTAATGGTAAGGAGGTGGCCCTGTAACCCAAAGGTTGGTGCTTTCATTGCCTGGTGGGGCACCAGTGTTGCACCCATGGCGAAGGTACCTTACCTGAACTGCCTTAGGCAGCATCCAGCTGTGTAAACAGATAACGTGAAAATCAAAAGCTGTGTCGATTGCTCTGCTAAGACTGTGTAATGTAAAACAGGTCTGTGATCAGCATCACAGCAAAAAAGTGATGTTGATCAGATGATTTTTTCTGTGTAAGACAGTAAAAGCCATTCAGGTAATCAAAGTGGACACTCAATGACAGTTATTGTCAGTTAGCTTGTTAGCTGATATAGACAGAGACTAGAGGAAATGTCAACCACAAGTGTTATGCACCATGTATATTTTAAATCAGTTGTCTGTTGTTCTTTGGAACATTGACAATTCCACAAAATATTTCAAAATTTTGAAACGCTCCCACTGCTCATAAATTTTAGATCATTTTCAGCCAGGCACACTGGAGTGAATTACTATGAAAGCATTGAGACCATAAATATTTTATGGCACAGTAGTTAAAGCAATAAATCATATGAATATAGTGTGCCTGTAGCCTTGTTTTTCTGTCAGAACCATTTAGGATACATGTTCCTCTCTGGCAACCAGGCCCACTTTAGGAAGTGGGGGATTGCGGTACTGTGTAGTCCAAGGGCAGACAAAAACAGAGCCTCAAAGGCTTGGAGCTTCCAGAGGTCTGTGGCAGCTTGGACCTCAAGCCAAAAATGCCACAAGACATCTGTGCTGTCTGACCACCCACATCTTGTTGCCTAATTCTGTATCTGCTGGTAACAGTGTAACCATGTGACAGTGAGTTCCACTTTGATCTGAATAAAATGACTCATAATAATATGAAAAATAACTTAGAAAAAAAAGTTCTTACACATGGCAGACATCATGCAGACAAGAGTCACCCATTTAGCAGCATGTGGAATGTCATGGCAGCCAAGAAAATGACAATAGGATTCTAACACGACCTAGCAGCATCATGCTGGCCCACACACATAAAAGCAACATGCACAAAGCAATATTCTGGCTGCACCACTGCTTTTTTTTTTAGTTTTGGCAATAAAGTGCCCCGACCACGCATAGGAATTTACAAAAATTGGTTGATTCATGTTTCTACAAAAATATTAGAAATGATCAGTGTCTTGCCACTCAGAGTATCTGAGCTTGTAGCTAGTTCAAGCCACAGTACTTGACTAAGTAATCATTGGAGAGTCACCTGCCACATGCTGATTCCCCGCTTAATCTAGGAAGGTTTTTCTTCGCACACTGTGATTCTTTTGTGCTTTCTCAATTTTTATGAGTTTGCAGACATTTTTTGTTTGGTACAAAAAGGTTTTTCTTTTTTGCAGAAACCTTTTTCGTTTGTGTACCTCCAGCATCAACTTTTTTACAACAGCTGTAATATTTTATGCAACTTTTTTTCCATAGCACAGCACTATTTAAAATAACATAAATGCAGGGCACTGTCATAGGAAGAGCTCCTTGCTGCTGCCGCCCCTGTCCCTTGCGTCTCTGTGGCTTGGAAACCAGTGTACAAGAACTGGTTTCATAGGCACACACAGTATTTATACAATAAAATAACACCCCACTGAGCTGAACAATGACAATGTAGCAAGGACAGCTTGTCTACAGTATGCTGTATAGGTTTTGGGTCTGCCCTGTCAACCGGTAACTTGATGGATGGCATAACTTCTATCACTATAATTTTGAAGATCTGCAGTATAATTCTGAATACAGGAATGCCATGTTGGCTATTCAAAATAGGAGAAAAAGAAGAGTAGCTTTTGAAGCAATGGATTTTTAAATCACATGAAACTAGTAGCTGCTTGGCCATTTGAATGAATACAGTTGAATTGAGCTGCTTTAGCTGATACAGAATTTAACAAAAGATGAGCACATTAGCTATGTCAGTTTCCCTGGATACGAACGTCTGTCAAGCAAATGACAATAACTGTCACACAATTAAGTTTAAAGAAATGCATTGTTTTAAAGTTTACTGTAAGTTTGCGCTGAACTCATCTTCAGTGGAGATCAGAAAGCCCTGATAACATTTCGAAATGCCTGTGGCCCTGTGCACATACTATATGATAATGATAGAAAACACAGCACAAGTTTTCATTGTATGAAAAAAGTCATAAAACTTCACTAAGAAAATCATTGAAAATGCACAGAGGTAAGATTTGATAAACACTGCCCTAATAGTGAAATTTTGGCATATCCAACGACCTGAGGCTGACATTTAATAAAAGATTTGAAGCTTAAGGAACAAACAGTGGCCCTACAAAGAAGTGAATGTGTTTACAGAAGGGCAGGGGTTAATCTCTGGTCTCAAAAGTAGGCATCACTCACAATTTAGCATACTAACACACTAACCTGAGTTCATCCCTGAGACATTACTGTACATAGCCAAGTCCCACCTACAACTACATAAGCACTTGTTGCTGTTATCTAGCACTGGCATTCCCCTCCATTATGATAAGCCCAAGTTCACAGCCATTGCCCCCTAGAGGATATAGTTATGAAGTACAGTATCAAATGCGTCCTCTTTCTGTGGAGTAAGGAAGGGAGTAAGTTGCAAATGAGGACAATCAAGACAAGTACCTATTGTCCAACAGTAATTTTTACAAAGACTTTGAAAATTGCTGTCACTGCTGACATAAATTAACCTTCAGCACAATGCATAGAAGTAGCAAACACCAGTCACTAAAATTAGAACTAACACAATACAAAATTCATACAAATTAAGAATGAAATTGTGTGGGCCAATTTGCTTACCAGTTTGCATTGCTTTTGTGAATGAACAGATGACATGTAATGTGTAAAACTGTGATGTTGGCATAAGACAAAAACTGTCAAAATGCTACTCCGTACACATAAACAAATGTGAAAGCAAACAAATGGGGCGAAATTAAGGTAAAAAATAAAATAGCAATGGAAATACACATAAGATACAGAAATTTTAGCCACTGCAGTAATCTGCATTACATTTCAGCAGAGTCAGCTCTCAGGATTCCTTTTTATCTTGAATTTGATTTACTAGAAGATTACAAGGGGAAAAAAAAGATGATTTGAAAAATAAACACCAAAATCCCTGAGGCTTTCTTGTGAGGGACTTGTATGCAATTACTGCTGAAAGTGCAGCTGCCTCCTCCCAGACTGTTGAGTTCTCACTGTTTGCATCTCCTCATTCAGGCTGCCTACTGTGTGCTTTGCTTTCTTTCTGATACAACCCTTCTTTTGAAAAAATAATAATTGCTACCCCAAGACAAATAGAAGAGTTCCACACACGAAAGCAAAGTGTGTCCATTTACAGCTGAACTCGCATTGGTGCACTCACATTAACACTTGCATCGAAGTGTTTGTGTTGCAGCAGTTAGGGCAGCAGTCTGGAAATATGAAGTTCATCAACATTGTTCATGTGTGAATGTCTTTCCTCCCTCCAAGCAATTCCAGCAGTATTGAAGAGGAAAATGCTCAACAGATTTCACTTTTGGCATTGTGAGTCTGCCCCTAGTAACCAGGAGATGGGATGGAGGGATGGAGGTGTCATAGTGCAAATATTTATAGCCTATGTCACATGAATTTTGGTTTTTCCATCAATATAAACTTTTCTGTGAAAGTTAACTGATTGGTATGTTGTCATTAAGTGCTATATTCTAGACCTTTAACCACTTTTGTTTTTTAAGAAAGCTTGACGTGGCTTGTACAATGTACTTATCATACCATTGGTTATATAGTGATAAACACGGAAATACTTTATTCATGGTCCTGTAAAATATGGATTTAAGGGACATTGCAGTGCTGCAATGTTTTAATTGTATTGTGCACAGTATTATAAATATAAGGAGAATTCTGTACAGCCACGCCTTATGTCTGACAGTTCTATTTTTCTGTTGTCTCTAGTTTACAAGCGCAGTTGTGTTCAGTTTGGAGGGCTTGGACAAGATGATACAGTTATCATAAACTTAATATAAGCCTTAAACTTACATACACATGTGTGAATAATAACTCAAGTCAAAGGGGAAAAGATGTCAAAGGGGAAACTGGCAGAAATATAGAACATAGAGAATGGACAAAAGCATGCTATGAGGATCAGGACATCAGTGGCATTGAACAGTTGAATCAGGACATATCAGTCAGACTCCAGCACCCTCAGATCCCAAAAAAAGGCCTCAGACCCAAAGCAAACCAGAGACAAGACCAGAGGACTCAAATGGTGTGATGTTTATGGCAGAAACGTGTTACATTTCTATCCTCGGCAACTCATACCTTTTACCTGCTAAGCGGAAAGCATTTTTGTAGGAAAATAAGTCATGTACAGTATTTTCATGTGAAGTTCATGTGAAGAGTGCCATGGTAATGGAATTTCCCTGATTTTTGAGTGCAGTCAGCTCATACAATCTCTCACTTGTTACCTCCATCTATTTCTTCAGTTCACTCAGTTAGCAAAGTGTTGCATTTCTCAGCACTGGGGACTTGAGCCCCATGTTTAGCTGTGCATTTCTACAAAAACTCGCTATTGGTTATGGACCAGCTGAGGGACCTTATGATATTTTCAGGCAGGTGTGGAAATATATATATAATACCTGTTATTGCGTGAGGACAAAAAACATGATGAGAACATGATGATGAAGCTGATCTTACGTTTGCTGCCATTGCAGCTGTTCAGTAAAGGCAGTTTCCTCGGTTGGACTAAACAGCAGTTATGCACATTGTGGCTCATTTGGTTAAAATGCCTGCCTAGTAAACAGGAAATCCTGGGTTTGCACCCTAGCGGTGCCTCCTTCATGTCTTTACGATAAATTTCACCGCAAAAGTGCACTCGCCTGACCCCGAAACAACAGGTTCCAGAGAAGCGGAGGTGCATCACTGCCTGCAATTGTTGGTTCTAGGTGGACAAAGTAACCTTTTATTTTTGCAAATTGATAGACCATACTGGGAGCAGAAAACAAAAAGCTTTTTCTTTTTATTTCTTTTCTTTTCACAAAGCCACTCCTGGCCACTCCTTCTCACCTCCAGGTCTAGCCAACAGAGGGAGATTGTGGTGTCGAAAGATCTTCTGCTGACAATACAGAACAATTCAGCTTTATACTTAGAAAGATATGTGGTCTTAGGTTACTGACACTACAGCGTATTTATTATTGATCTGTCCTGAGGTTGGCAAGTGGTAGTAACTCATAGTAATTTGATGTTTTCAAATTCTTGCAGACTGTGAGAACATATCTCAGGTGCTTAGTCAGATGATACCTCACAATAAAATATTAAATACTTTAATCAGTTTAAGAGAAAATGTTTTGCCAAAAACAACTATTAGCCATCTTTAAAAAAAATGTACTATCATTTTCATCAGTATTGTTACTGGGTTTAAGAAGCACACATCCACATTATATGGATCTACTTCCAGCCCACAGAAAAAAAAAACTGTTGAAGAGTGTGTGGCACCAGAACTTCATGGTTCCTCCTGGCTCCTGTTTCAATAACGGAAAAGGGGCCAAGGTAGAGTATGAGACACTTAGTCTCAGGTTTGTGGATTAGAGCCCCAAAATGGCCTTTGATCTTCTCGGAGACTACTATGCAAAGATGTGATCTACAGTGGGAAGTCATCAGTCAGGGTACGTTCAAGGTGTATGTGACCAACTCTTTGATGGCCAAACCTGGCTGATGTTGATGATTTTCACAGTTTAGTAATGGCAAATGAATTATCAACTGAAAATAAGAACAGAACATCATCTATGCAAACCACAGAATTTGGAAGCTGAGAAAGATGGACAGAGAATCATTGAGCCACACTGCTTGCAAGCCATGAGCATGAAATGTGACATATTTACATAAATTATTTTTCAGTTTGCTGTCTGACAAATTTCCAGTCAGGTTGAATACTGTAGTGTTTTTGGACCCTCTTTGTCTTATTTCATAAGACAATCTCTATCACTTTAGCTGTATCACTTGTCCAGCTTATTTACGTTCCCCTTATATGTCCCTTTTCTATAACGTTTTGTTTTCAATATAGGTTTTTTTTTATTTTGTTTTTTAGCCCACGCAGTCACAAACCCAGAGCAGCCAACCAGTCTGCAGCTCTTCGCGTGACATTGACTGCGTTGACACAGATGTACAGGGTCCCGTACTGTCATGCTCCATGACATACTGTCACCACAGAATTAATTGGTTTGTTTTCATTTGAGCTGCTTCACAAAACTGCCACATTCATTTTCTTAAAGCACATGTAACATAACACAGCACAAGAGGGTGCTATTGGATTAAATCTCAGAAAAAAGACATTTGTGAAACACCACATGAAGGCTCAAAAGAGGTTAGGGTAATGTTCATTTCAGGACAACACCCTGCACAGAATTTGAAACACAATAAGGAAAAAACCAAAATGACTGAAATGAGCTTTAATGGGGTGTATTAATCTAAATGTAGATGTAGAATGGGCAATAGGTCTGATGGAAAATTGGTTGTGATTTAAAGTTCACTCTGTCAGGGAACCAGCCTGCCTAAATGGAATGGTAGTGGGAGACCCTATGTATGCCTTTTGAAACAGCAGGGGCCAGTCCAGGAGAGTGGAGCATTGTATCCAACTGGGGAGATAGCCTCAGAGATGGCCCATGATGGAGACATGTAGGTAGAAAAGGGGTGAGAGGTGGAGTCAGGGGAGGAAAAGGGGTATGAGAACAGCTGCTGCAACAGGAAGAAAAAAGGACAGAAGGACAGTTTACAGACAAAATTCACTTGTCAGTACTGGCTTGAGAGAGTAGCTGTCAGGCTTTCAGGTAGAAGGACCCAGGCACAGACCAGGATGACAAACCAGGCATTTTATTGAGGAAAATCCAAAAATTGTAGTATAGAAACAGTCAAAGTCAAAACCAGAGAATCCACAAGCAGAAAAGCCAAAACACTAGGCAAGGGTCAAAATCCAACAAAACAGGCAGAAGTCAAAAAACCAGAGCAAGCAAAAGGAAAAACAGGCAGGAGCAAAACAGACTGAAACACTGTGACAAACTGGCAAAGAAACAGAGCAGATAGAGGGATATAAATACACAGACTGATGATAAGACAACAGGGAACAGGTGTGCAGGATGGTCTTCAGGTGGTGGGTGTGGCAGCAGGGCAGATAGGTAGGTGGGACAGGAGGTGGGGCGATGGGCTGAAAACAAAAACAAAAGCACCTGCAAGCAAGAAAAACCAAACAAATGACACACCCACACTGACAGACAAGAAGACAAAAACAACACAAGCAGGACATCACGTGGAAGGACTGACAGTAGGTGTGGTTTTCAGGTATTATTTAGCCCTTGGAATGAAAGTAATTTAATCAAAATGGTTAATTTCAGGTAAAATAAACAACTTTCACAAATTTGAGGATTTTGGACAATTTGAGGATGGCATTGTGTCCAATGCCTCTCAGAGGCCGTTTCTGAGTTGCAAATGACCTTTATTCAACTTGTCAGTCACAGCACAGGTGAAAGATGAGCATTCTGTTCAATCATCAAGTGGCTTTAATATCAAATCCAGGGATTGATCTATCCATTCTTATCATAACACCGAATCATACAACCAAATATAATCAGATATTATCATCAGGTTCATAGTTAAATGAAAAGACAGCTTTGAATTTGGATTTGGAATTTCAGTTGTTGCAAAATTGTCTCTTTTCCTTTCTTATTCACTTGCATACTCACTAACATTCTCACACACCCCCACAGCCACAGTAAATTCAATGCTGGAACTATCCAGTGAGTTCACTTACAACCTTCCATGGCAAAAACAACAAACACAGACACTCCAACACCCATGGCTATGATTACTGCGATTATGTTTTTGTCTGTCGAAACAGACAGGAAGAGATTGTTAGGATAAACATAATGGAAACCTTGTGGCATTACAATGAGACCACTGCTGGGTCTTTCTAGTTAGTTTAGTCTTTTCTTCTGTGAGGAACATATACCTTTATTTTTAACATGTCTGAATGAAAATGAACCCATTGCATTCACTTCCAAGACACCCAAACAACCACACAGTATATCTATGCTGACTGTGCTGTCACACAAGACAATATAATCTCAGTGGGAGTGATGTTTCAGAGGTGGATCCAACACCAGAAGAACAGTACAAAACATTACTTGTATGCTCGTTAATTTATTCCGAGATCAGTACAAAACACCTTCAAAAGAATCTGAGGTGGTAACATTAAAAATGAGAACACAGGGTCAGCATTTTAATAGATGTACAGCATCAAGCACATAGAAATCAGACTTGCAAGGACCATAGGTTTGGTGCCTGCTACACCAGATAAACACTTTTCCTGGACTGAATTAACTTTCAAATGCATTCTAATTTTTGCCAGAGAGCACCAAACCTATATTAAGTAAATTTACATGTTAAATGATAATAGTGAGGTTAACTATTGAATCTAACTACCAAGAACATTCCTTAGGTGCTCTTTCAAAATTGAACATTAGTTAACAATGATGACAGAAAAATATAAATGCCAATATAAAATGCTGTTTAAGAACAACCAAGACTTATCTATAAGTTATCCCCTCGTCTATCAGTGACTGGTGGGCTATCTGTAATGTCCATGGTAACACATCTAGTGATGGCATTCGTTGTGGTGATTGACGGAGAAGTTGTCCCATTGGTGATTGGTTGAGTTGTTGTGGTAGGAATGACGATTGGCGTCGTTTTTTTCGTGGTCGGCTGGGGAGTTGTCGTGGAAGTGGTAACCTCCTCTGAGGAGTTACTGGACTCTGAGGACTCTGAGGACTCAGAGGATTCTGAGCTGCTGTCACTCCACTGTCTAAAGCGGACACCATGGAAACCAGCCTGTTGATCACACATTAAAACAGACCTTTCAAAACAGACTTTTAAACAGTGGCCATCATTGGAAATGTTTTTACATGTGTATAGAATTTTGTCTCTTAGCTGACATATTTAAAATTTAAAGGTAGAAAATAACAAGATTACCTCCCTATGACTTCAATTGCAAATGTGAAATTTGAACAATTCTTACTGGCTTTGAAGTTGCTGTCGTCACAATCAGAAGGATAAGAAGTGCAGTCTTCAAAATCTCCATTTCTTGTAGTTTTCTGAAAAAAGATAAATTGCTTTACAGATGTAGAGTGTACACTCTCAGAATCAAGAATGAACAGCAATACACAAGAGTATACAACAAATGAACTTTAACAACATCATGTAAGAACATAGCTGCTAGTTTAAGATATTACCTTGAGTGTATAACTTCACTTGTCCAGGATGCAGTGAAAAGCAACAGTTCCAAATTGAATACTGAAACTAGGGAGCAGGTGTTAATATACCCAAGGTCAGTGAGTAACACATGATGTGTTTGAACAGATAATCCTTTAAATGTTTCAATGACAATGATGCAGCCGGATATTGGCTTTTAGACTCTGGAATTTCTTGTGCAATACTCCCAAAGAGTCATTCTATCATTAACCATATGACTAATTTTCTGGAAATTCTTCTTGTCCCCTCTCTGAAATAAAACAACACTTGCCCTACAGTGCCACAAACATGGCTTTAAATGAGAGAGTGCTTTACCCATGAAATATGGTCATGGATCTACTGTCAAAACAACATGTGGCTAATGGTAGAATTACTGTCGGGCATGCAAAATTGCACAATTTTATTTCAGCTGAAATTCATGTATCTCAAAATACAAACCCGCCATCCATGAGTACAAAAGAGAGTTTGGAGCTGTGGGGACATATTTATATTGAAGTTATATTGCTTTGAAAAGTACTGGATTGTATCTCAGTGTC